GAAAGAGTATGAGATTGAGGAGAAAAGACAATAAAAGCACAGATTTGAAGAACACGGAAGATGGGGATTAGTGTTGCATTTAAATTATTGTAGTTGACAGGGAATCAAGAAATCTGAAGGGATTTCCACAGGCAAGAAAAGAAACTATTAGAATAAAACATACGGTTGCCATTTAATAAATCAGTGAGACCTAATTGCCAATCTAGTATCACGCTTAAATTCATGCAGTCGAAGTACTAAGGAGGAAAGCTTATTAGAACTGCTCTAAAAATATTTATAGAAAAGTCAGAGGGAAGCCACGTCCCTGAGAAAGTGACTGATGTAGAGATGACAAGTCAGGACCGATTATATTACTGATCATTATTTGAATTTTGCCAAGATATATAATAAAAGCACTCAACTTCATCATCAGACCGCAGTCGGGAACATCGTGCCAATTTGAATGATTTTTTCCTTAGCTATATAGTATGTACAACACCGGGGCTACATACAGTTTTGAATTCTTTTGAGTTACTTTCTCCTAGATCGATTGCCACCCAAGTCTATAGAACCCAGTCTGTCCTGCTATTTACCCATACCTGGTGGGAGAAGAAGAGGATTCATATCTTTCCCAAGTAAGTTAGTGAGTAAGTAATATTGATATCATTCCCATGTAATGGTCCTGACTAGCATTCGATTTTCCGATTTGTCAATTCAAGCAGCTATCCATTATTTCACAGTCCCATCTAGAACAGATATAACAGCAATATTCAATGCACAGGCGAATTCTAGATCCATAATTCTGCAAGATAGATACTGAGATGCATACATATACTCATTCATATATTCATAGTTGCATAAGTTTTAACGCCTCCAAAGCAAAATCGTTTTCATTTAATCCTCACAAAGAATATTTTCTGCCAGCCGTCAGGATGGCTGCTGCTGAATTCCAGGAGAGCAACATTTTACCATTTTACGTCTTCTTGAGATCACGTTTTCTACTGACATCAAGTGGAGCAACCATATTGAGTCAATTGCTATGTCTACTGCAAGAAAAGATGATTAACCGTTTCATGCCAGAAAGCTTTTCTCGTCAGAATCCATCTTGCACATCTACCATTCCTCCATATACTGCTGTCATATCTGGTCTGGTGATTCTGCTGTATATTTTGATTCTTGACAAAATTCAAAGAAGCGTCCGTAATGATAATCGGTAACTGACCTGACATCTCGACTTCAGTCACTTTCTCGCCAACGTGACGTGGCTTCCCTCTGTCTTTTCTATAAATATTTTCATGGCAATTGTTCTAAGAAGATTTTTCCCTATTCCCCCGACTACATGAATTTAAGTAGGCTACTAGACTGGCAAAAGGACTCACCATTTTACTGTTCAACTAACTAAATGCAACCGCCATTTATACACCAACAGTATATTTTCTTGCATTCTCTCCTGTCGAACTGATTTCTGGTTTCTTTTTTTCCCCTTCCACCTATAATCTTCAAAAATGCAATGTCAGTCACCATCTTCTTTGAAACCTGTTCTTTTTTTTGCCATTTACTCACTTCTCTTCACTAAAGTCTTGTTATTTTTCTTTCATCCTCTTCTTATTTTTTTAAAAATATTTTCTTTCTTTTTTAACCATTTCTTATTTTCTCTCTGACTTTTACTTTCTTTCTTCCTTTCTTTCTTTCTTTCTGTTATAACATCTTCATATTTTTATTTTATCTAAATCGTTCTATCTATCTATCTATCTATCTATCTATCTATCTATCTATCTATCTATCTATCTATCTATCTATCTATCTATCTATCTATCTATACACCATAGCTATCTATTATAATCTCATCTTATTTTTATAAATTATTATTTCTTTCTTTCTATTATAATCTCTTATTATCTTTATGTTTATAATTTTTTCTTTCGCTCTCTCCCTCTTTCTTTCTTGCTATTATAATTCCTTCATTTTCTTTATTTTTATAAAATGTTCTTTCTTTCTTTCTTTCTATTATAATCTCTTATTTTCTTTATTTTTATAAATTGTCCATTCTTTCTTTCTTTCTTTCTTTCTTTCTTTCTTTCTTTCTTTCTATTATAACCTCTTCTTATTTTCTTTATTTTTATAACTTTACAGTCCCCTACTGCGTCTTATTGTCTTTATCGCCTTCCTTGGGGTGAAATGATTAAAAGAAATATATCCACACAGTGTCCGTGTGTGTGTGCTTATAAAAGTTTTCATATTTTTACACGTACAAGAAAATTCACAAACCTTACACGGATATGAATGCATTATTGATGACTCAATAGATTTACAACCTGACACGTAGTTATTACCTGAATTTTGATCTAAAATTTTCATTGTATAATTTTCGAATTTTATGCATCATATTAGATAATGAATTGTGCATTGAAAAAAGGAAGGGGATTATGCTGAAAAATAAATAAATATTTGGCCAGTGACGGTTTTGCCGTCATTGGTATTGATTAAAAGTCGTATAAACACGCACAAACACAAATACAAACGTTCGAGTATATTTCCAAGATAGATGTCTCTTTGTATGTTTCTTTGTTTATGTGTGCGTCTGAGTGTGTGAATGAGTTTTTACGTGTCTGTCTAACTATATGAGCGCATGTGTTTCTGTGTGTAAGCGTGTGCGTGTGAGTTTCTGTGTGCATGCTTGCGCGTGCCTGTGTTTGTTGGCGCGCGGGCGTGCGATTTGCCTCAGGGGCCTCTGCATATTTCAAGATTTTCTCTTAATAAAATCTTTGGTTTCCTATTTTTCGCCAGTTTGTTAACGATTGATTGCTTCCACGGCTGTTGGCAATTTTGGAAGATATTGAACAGCCACAAAGATTGTTTTGGATTCAATCGTTAATTGTTCAAAGCTCGAAATGCTTGTTTGTGGAAAGAAAGAAAGAAAGAAAGAAAGAAAGAAAGAAAGAAAGAAAGAAAGAAAAAAAGAAGACCATATTAATAATGCAAAGAAAGAAAGAAAGAAAGAAAATCATATGGATAAGGGAAAGAAAGAAAAAAAGAATATATGAATAATGAAGAGAGAGGGAAAGACAGCACAGTTGTTAGGAAAAGAAAAAGAAAGAAATTAGGGCAGGTGACTATTTGAAATAAAAGCAGAAAAAGACACATAGATTAGGAAAAGAACGAAAGAAAGAATAGGGTAAGAATGCCGAAAAGAAAAAAGAAAAAGGAAAAGAGAAGGTAAAAAATGTAAAGGTGAAGAAGAGTAAACAACGAAGGGAAGGAAATGAAGAGAAGGAAAAGTAAATAATGAAGAGAAAGAAAAGAAAAGGGGAAAAGTAAACAACGAAAGAAATGAAGGGAAGGAAATATAAACAACAAAGAGAAAGAATAGAGGGGAATGAAAAGTAAACCACGAAATGAAGGAAAAGAAAGAAAAAAAGAAGACAGACAGACAAACAGACAGACAGAAATGGTTAAAAAGAGAAAGGAAAGTTTTATTTTTTTTAAATAAAGAAAATTGAAAGCGGTTATAACAGAAAGAAAGAACAGTTTATAAAAATAAAGAAAATGACAAAAGTTAAAGTAGGGAACAAAAAGTGGGTTATAAAGAAAGCTAAAAGAATTCCGATTGAAGAAAAAGACATTGAAGAAGAACGGAAAATGAAAATAATAGGAGGAAATAGAATAAAATAGAAACATTTTTGAAATAGAATTATTAGGTGTGGCTGGTAGAATGAAAAACAATTAAAAGCAGATTTTGGAACAAAATGCAGGAACAGAAAAGAAGAGAGAAGACCGAAGGGAAGGAATTGAAAGGAAGGAAAATTAAATAACGAAGAGAAGGAAAAGAAAAGTTGAAAGAGTAAACAATGAAAGGAATGGTGGGAAGGAAGAGTAAAGAAGGGAAGGAAATGAAGTAAAGGAAAAGAAAAGGAGAAAGAGTAAACAACGAAAGGAAGGGAGGAAAGGAAGGAAGAGTAAAGAACAAGGAGAAGGAAATGTAGAAAAGGAAAAGGAAAAGAAAGACTAAACAACAAATCGAAAGAAGGGAGGGAAGGAAGAGTAAAGAAGGGAAGGAAATGAAGTAAAGGAAAAGAAAAGGAGAAAAGAGTAAACAACGAAAGGAAGGGAGGAAAGGAAGGAAGAGTAAAGAACAAGGAGAAGGAAATGTAGAAAAAGAAAAGGAAAAGAGAAAGACTAAACAACAAATCGAAAGAAGGGAGGGGAAGGAAGAGTAAAGAAGGGAAGGAAATGAAGTAAAGGAAAAGAAAAGGAGAAAGAGTAAACAACGAAAGGAAGGGAGGAAAGGAAGGAAGAGTAAAGAACAAGGAGAAGGAAATGTAGAAAAGGAAAAGGAAAAGAGAAAGACTAAACAACAAATCGAAAGAAGGGAGGGAAGGAAGAGTAAAGAAGGGAAGGAAATGAAGTAAAGGAAAAGAAAAGGAGAAAGAGTAAACAACGAAAGGAAGGGAGGAAAGGAAGGAAGAGTAAAGAACAAGGAGAAGGAAATGTAGAAAAGGAAAAGGAAAAGAGAAAGACTAAACAACAAATCGAAAGAAGGGAGGGAAGGAAGAGTAAAGAAGGAAGGGAAGAAAATGAAGAAAAAGAAAAGTAAATAACGAAGAGAAGGAAAAGAAAAAGAGTAAACAACGAAAGGAAGCGAGGGATGGAAGAGTAAAGAAGGAAGGGAAGGAAATGTAGAGAAAGAAAGGAAAAAGAGAAAGAGTAAACAAAGGAAGGAAAGAAGGAAGGAAGAGAAGTAAGAGTAAACAACGAAGAGAAGGAAACGAAAAGAAGGAAAAGTAAATAATAAAGAGAAAAAGAGAAAAGGGGAAAGTAAACAACGAAGGAAATGTAGGAAAGGTAAACAAAAAAGGAAAAGAATAGAAGGAAAGGAAAAGAAGATTAAACAGCGAAGTGAAGGGAAAGAAAAGGAAGAAATGTCAGTAAAGAAGGGAAGAGATGGAAGTGTATATAACGAAGGGTTGGAGGATTAAAAACGAAAGGAAGAAATAAAAAAAAACAACGTAGGAATTGAAAAGTTAGAAAAGAAGATAAAACAAGGAAGGGAAGAAAAAAAGTGAAGGAAGGATGAATAACGGTAACCTAAAGATGGGAAGGAATGTTAAAGAACGAAGGGAAGGAATAGGAGAGAGAATGAAAAGTAAATAAAGTAGGAAAGCTACAAGAAAGGATGGACTAAATAACGTATGAAGGGAAAAAAATGAAGGGAGGGAAAAGAATTCAATGAAGAAAAATGCAAAATGTAAAGTACGGAGTATCCTTCAAAATTGGTATCATTTAAAATGTGAATATGAGTAACTACATATCCCAGGCAAACGAACTTAAATAGGCTTGATGTTAAATAATAGAATATTTATTTGTCAAAATTCGAACAAGATATGAAAAGGGATGTAAATTTTATAACTGTTCAACAAAGCTTCACAAATGTTCAATATGAACACCAGCTGTGAAATGGCACACGCCAAGTTGATAGTCCAGCTCTTACCAAACACGCTGTAGCATGTCTTGCGCAACATTCTCCAGTGCCTTTGAATTTTTTTGATCTATGTTCAAATCTAATTTCCAGCTGGTGCATTTTTGAATTTTCTCGAAAACGCACGCTGCACACTTTTGTTCGACTGCCTTCGAGCACATTCTAACACACAGAATGCCTTTTCATTTCTAGTGAACGTCCTCCTTCACCCTGAAAAATGGAAGAAATAAACATTCGACATTGTTTTTACATATTTTGTTAAAATTTGTTAAATTTTGGATCATTTGAGTGAGAATTGGTAGTGTTATTTGACTACAAAATGACGTCAATTTTTGGGACACCCTGTAAAATGTAGAGAAAAGCGTGAAAATTTGAGAAATAGATGAAAAAAAAGAAACATTAATGAGATGATATGAATAACAACATTTTTTTAAAGTCAAGAAAAAAAAGGATGAACATAATGGCAAAAAAAGAAGAAATTAACAAATAAAAAAGAAAGAATGAATATAATTGTAAGGAAAGAAAAAATTCACAAACAAAATGTAAAGAATGGACATATGACAAAGAAAGAAGAAATTAACAAACAATAAGGAAAGAATGGACATATGACAAAGAAAGAAGAAATTAACAAACAATAAGGAAAGAATGGACATATGACAAAGAAAAATATGACAAAGAAAGAAGAAATTAACAAACAATAAGGAAAGAATGGACATATGACAAAGAAAGAAGAAATTAACAAACAATAAGGAAAGAATGGACATATGACAAAGAAAGAAGAAATTAACAAACAATAAGGAAAGAATGGACATATGACAAAGAAAGAAGAAATTAACAAACAATAAGGAAAGAATGGACATTTAACAAACAATAAGGAAAGAATGGACATATGACAAAGAAAGAAGAAATTAACAAACAATAAGGAAAGAATGGACAT